TTGGGGCAGGAAGGGGGTTTGGGGTCCAGAAAGTGGAATTTTGGGGCTAGAAAGTGTATTTTGAGGCAGAAAATGACCGATTTGGGTCCGGAAAGTGTATTTTTGTGTCCAGAAAGTGGAATTTTGGGTCCAGAAAGTGGAATTTGGGTCTGGGAAGTGGAATTTTGGGTCCAGAAAGGGAATTTCTGGCTCCAGAAAGTGTATTTCGAGGCGAAAAATGACCGATTTGGGTCTGGAAAGTGGATTTTGGGTGTGGGAAGTGATGAATTTGGCTCCGGAAAGTGGAATTTTGGAGCCAGACAGTGGATTTTGGGTCCAGACAGTATATTTTTGGGTCCAGAATGTGGATTTTGGCTCCAGAAAGTGTATTTCGAGGTGGAAAATGACCGATTTGGGTCCGAAAAGTGGATTTTTATGTCCGGAAAGTGGATTTTGGGTCCAGAAAGTGGATTTTGGGGCTAGAAAGTGGAATTTTGGGTCCGGAAAGTGTATTTTTGCCCCCCGGAAGTATATTTCGAGGCGGGAAATGACCGATTTGGGTCTGGAAAGTGGATTTTTGGGTCTGGGAAGTGTATTTTTGGTCCAGAAAGTGGATTTCAGGGCAGGGAGTGACCCATTTGGGTCCAGACAGTGGATTTTTGGGTCCAGTAAGTAGATTTTGGGGCAGAGAGTGACCCATTTTGGTCTAGAAAGTGGTTTTTTGGGGCCGGAAAGTGGAATTTTGGGGCCAGAAAGTGTTTTTTTGGGGCCAGACAGTGAATTTTGGGTCCAGAAAGTGGATTTTTGGTCCAGAAAGTGGATTTGGGGGCAAGAAGTGACCGATTTGGTTCCAGAAAGTGGAATTTTGGGTCCAGACAGTATATTTTTGGGTCCAGAAAGTGGATTTTTGGCTCCAGAGAGTTCATTTTGAGGCAGAAAATGACCAATTTGGGTCCAGAAAGTGGATTTTGGGGCAGGAAGTGACTGATTTGGTTCCAGAAAGTGGATTTTTGGTCCAGAAAGTGAATTCTGGGATGGGAACTGGGCACTTTTGTGTCCAGACAGTGAATTTTGGGTCCGGAAAGTGGAATTTGGGTCCGGAAAGTGGAATTTTGGGTCCAGACAGTGGATTTTGGGTCCAGACAGTATATTTTTGGATCCAGACAGTGGAATTTTGGCTCCAGAAAGTGTATTTCGAGGTGGAAAATGACCGATTTGGGCCCGAAAAGTGGATTTTTGTGTCCGGAAAGTGGATTCTGGGGTGGGAAGTGACCGATTTTGGTCCAGAAAGTGGAATTTTGGGGTGAAGAAAGTAGATTTTTGTGTCCGGAAAGTGGTTTTTGGGTCCAGGCAGTGGGATTTTGTCTCCAGAAAGTATATTTCGAGACAGAAAATAACCGATTTGGGTCCGAAAACTGTATTTTTATGTCCGGAAAGTGGATTTTGGGTCCAGAAAGTGGATTTTGGGGCTAGAAAGTGGAATTTTGGGTCCGGAAAGTGTATTTTTGCCCCTCGAAAGTGTATTTCGAGGCGGGAAATGACCGATTTGGCTCCGGAAAGTGGATTTTGGGTCCGGAAAGTGGGTTTTTGGGTCCGGAAAGTGGAATTTTGGGTCCAGTAAGTAGATTTTGGGGCAGGGAGTGACCCATTTTGGTCTAGAAAGTGGTTTTTTGGGTTCAGAAAGTGGATTTTTGGTTCCAGAAAGTGGATTTTTGGGTCCAGAAAGTGGATTTTGGGGTGGGAAGTGGACCAATTTGGGTCCCAAAAGTGGATTTTGGGTCCAGAAAGTGGATTTTTCTGTCCAGAAAGTGGATTTTGAGGTGGGAAGTGACCAGTTTTAGGTCCAGAAAGTGGATTTTTGGCTCCAGTAAGTGGGTTTTGAGGCAGAAAATGACCTATTTGGGTCCCGAAAGTGGATTTTGGGTCCAGACAGTGGTTTTTGGGTCCAGACAGTGGAATTTTGGCTCCAGAAAGTGTATTTCAAGGCAGAAAATGACCGATTTGGGTCCAAAAAGTGTATTTTTATGTCCGAAAAGTGTATTTTGGGTCCAGAAAGTGGATTTTGGGGCTAGAAAGTGGATTTTGGGGGTCGGAAGTGATGAATTTGGGTCTGGAAAGTGGATTTTGGGGCTAGAAAGTGGAATTTTGGGTCCGGAAAGTGTATTTTTGCCCCCCGGAAGTATATTTCGAGGCGGGAAATGACCGATTTGGGTCTGGAAAGTGGATTTTTGGGTCTGGGAAGTGTATTTTTTGTCCAGAAAGTGGATTTCAGGGCAGGGAGTGACCCATTTGGGTCCAGACAGTGGATTTTTGGGTCCAGTAAGTAGATTTTGGGGCAGAGAGTGACCCATTTTGGTCTAGAAAGTGGTTTTTTGGGGCCGGAAAGTGGAATTTTGGGGCCAGAAAGTGTTTTTTTGGGGCCAGACAGTGAATTTTGGGTCCAGAAAGTGGATTTTTGGTCCAGAAAGTGGATTTGGGGGCAAGAAGTGACCGATTTGGTTCCAGAAAGTGGAATTTTGGGTCCAGACAGTATATTTTTGGGTCCAGAAAGTGGATTTTTGGCTCCAGAGAGTTCATTTTGAGGCAGAAAATGACCAATTTGGGTCCAGAAAGTGGATTTTGGGGCAGGAAGTGACTGATTTGGTTCCAGAAAGTGGATTTTTGGTCCAGAAAGTGAATTCTGGGATGGGAACTGGGCACTTTTGTGTCCAGACAGTGAATTTTGGGTCCGGAAAGTGGAATTTGGGTCCGGAAAGTGGAATTTTGGGTCCAGACAGTGGATTTTGGGTCCAGACAGTATATTTTTGGATCCAGACAGTGGAATTTTGGCTCCAGAAAGTGTATTTCGAGGTGGAAAATGACCGATTTGGGCCCGAAAAGTGGATTTTTGTGTCCGGAAAGTGGATTCTGGGGTGGGAAGTGACCGATTTTGGTCCAGAAAGTGGAATTTTGGGGTGAAGAAAGTAGATTTTTGTGTCCGGAAAGTGGTTTTTGGGTCCAGGCAGTGGGATTTTGTCTCCAGAAAGTATATTTCGAGACAGAAAATAACCGATTTGGGTCCGAAAACTGTATTTTTATGTCCGGAAAGTGGATTTTGGGTCCAGAAAGTGGATTTTGGGGCTAGAAAGTGGAATTTTGGGTCCGGAAAGTGTATTTTTGCCCCCCGAAAGTGTATTTCGAGGCGGGAAATGACCGATTTGGCTCCGGAAAGTGGATTTTGGGTCCGGAAAGTGGGTTTTTGGGTCCGGAAAGTGGAATTTTGGGTCCAGTAAGTAGATTTTGGGGCAGGGAGTGACCCATTTTGGTCTAGAAAGTGGTTTTTTGGGTCCGGAAAGTGAATTTTGGGTCCAGACAGTGGATTTTGGCTCCAGAGAGTTGATTTTGGGGGCGGGAAGTGACCCATTTTGGTCTAGAAAGTGGATTTTTGGGTCTGGAAAGTGAATTTTGGCTCCAGAAAGTGTATTTCGAGGCAGAAAATAACCAATTTGTGTCCGGAAAGTGTATTTTTGGTTCCAGAAAGTGGTTTTTTGGGTCCAGAAATTGGAATTTTGGGTCCAGAAAGTGGTTTTTTGTGTCCGGAAAGTGGTTTTTGGGTCCAGACAGTGTATTTTTGGCTCCAGAAAGTATATTTCAAGGCAGAAAATAACCGATTTAGCTCCGAAAACTGTATTTTTATATCCGAAAAGCGTATTTTGTGTCCAAAAAGCGTATTTTATGTCCAAAAAGTGTATTTCTGGGTCCAAAAAGCATATTTTGTGTCCGAAAAGCCTATTTTTGGGTCCGAAAAGCGTATTTTTATGCCCGAAAAGCGTATTTCAGGTCCGAAAAGCGTATTTTTATGTCCGAAAAGCGCATTTCGCTG